ATATTTAAAAACTAGTTAAATATTAAATTGAAATAAAATATAAATAATATATTATTTTAGTATTTATGTTTTAGTGCTTTTAATATGAAACTTGAATGCTTTTCTGATCAAAGAACTCTTAGAGTTTTTAAAATATTAAGAATATTAATAAATATATATACTTATATATTTACTTTTTTAAAAATATATTTTGACATTTTATTAATTAAAGATTGTTTTTAAAAATTTTGCAAAAAAAATTGAGAAATGTGTAAAACATTATATTTTTAATATTAAAAAAAAAAAATATTAATTTTTTTATATTAAACAGTTGATAAAATATTAAAAAATAATAAGTGAATACATAAATTTTTTTTTAAATTGATTGAAATATATACGTTTCAATTATTTAATATCTATATATATGCATTTATATTTTATCTTGTAAATTCTTGTGCTATATGCCTGGCCATAGGTGTACAAAAATATACATATGTATATATATATATATATTTGAGTGTGTAAAGCTCAATGTGGCAGCTTAGTCCACTAAGTAAACGAAAACAAAAACAAAAAAATGAAATGGGAGAAAAAAACCTGCTCTATAAACATGGTTGGCCCGTAAAGTCGCAAGCTGTGCGCTCATCTTGTGATTATTTGCTGTTGTTGTTAGTTCATCTATTGCTGAACTTTTATAAATTGATGTATATATACATTATATATATCAGCAACTACACTTTAGTTATTCTATGCATTTTCATTTGGCAAACAAACTAACAACAAATTCAAAATATATTTCGCTCAAACAAAAATATGTTTATAAATTATGTACGCAGCTACTTGTGCTTGTAGCGTATTTCTTGCAATTAATTTGAATAATTAATATGCACACAGACACAGACACACACACACATAGACACACACGCGCACAAACGACACACCTTTACTCGTGGCCCATTTCGCCAAGCGCTTTTCTTTAGAATTTCAAATTTCTTCGTTTTTTGTTTTTTTTTTTTTATTTTATTTTATATTTTTGTTGTACTGTTCTGTCAACGCGACCGTTGTGGCAGCAACAGTAGCAGCAGCAGCAGCATCGCCGTCGTCGTCTGCCCCAATGTGTGGCAATACACACGCTAACGAGGATAATTCGCACGTTTAGTCTTTGGCTGGATTGCCGCGCAACTGATACGAGGAAACCAAAACCGAACGCGAGCTGCAAAAAACCCAAAAAAAAAGAAAGAAATAAAAATTCAACCTGAAAAGCATCGCCAGCTCAACTCATTTCCGCTCTTCAAATTCTTATGCTCCCACAGCTCAGCGCTGCTCCCAGAAGAAGAGCTAGAGCGAGAGAGAGAGAAAGAGAGAGAGAGCGAGGGCGACTGAGAGCGAGCGCGCGTTATTTGTTGTTTACGCTATGTTGACGCAATTTTCACACGCTGAATGCCCACTGTGGCTATGGGCCATGATTCTTGACGCGTTTCCCTTATTGCAGCTTCGGTTGTTTATTTAAAACATTTTGTGATTATTTTTCGTTGTTATTTACGTTCGTTCGGAATTGCCGCTAAAATTGAATTGGCAGCTTTCACAGGTGTTTGTGCTTTATTGTGGAGTTGCCAATCGAAGAGAGCGGCGCATGCAAGAGCGGCGTTCACACTGACCTAAGAGAGCGCGCATCACAGCGTTGCCAGACTGTTTAAGATAAGTGTTTGAGAGCAAAAGCTCTTGCCGGAAATGACTAAAGCATTTGGATATAAATGTTGAAGTGTATTTAAATATAAGCAAATATTACCCGGCTTTGTGCGGTAGTAGCTTATTGTTAGCTTATGAATGGTGACTATAATGTTAGACGTATCAAATATATATGTATATTTTTGGCCACGTATTAGGCAATAGAAATTAGTTGGCAATTGGAAATTTATATATATATTTCAACGAAAATTTTTCTTACAATAAAAGTTTTATTCAAAAATTTGTTTGATTCTGAAGTTAGACTTAGATTAGATTTTGAGTTTTTAAGCATTGAAATTAATATTTGATTATGGAACCTTATACATGTTTGCACTCTTACTGTTCTATGCTACCAAGTGTCTTTGAAAAACTTAAAATTTATTAAAAATTTAATCTGAAATGGATTTAATTCTTAGCTCGAAAAGTTAACTGAGTATTTAATAACTGAGTGTTTAATAAGCTCCGAAATCAATTTTTTTATTTTGATACCTTCTTAGTTTCTTTCCATCGACAATTGGTTCAAACATTGCTTCTGCCCAAAGTCCTGTCCATTTGCGCAGCACCAGGCGTATACGTAATATGTTGTAATAATTCATAAGAGCTTCAGTGCTTAAGCAGCGCTCTTTGCTTGCTGTGAAAGAGCGAAAGTCGCACGTTTCAGCTTTTTTACAACTTGCTCCCGTAGTAAAGCTCGCAATACACAGCAAAATATTACGTATACGAAAGGTAAGCAATATTATTTTATCCATATTTTTCAATATATGCAAAAATAATTCAAAAGTTTTCTAAAAATATTTTTAAGTAAACAAAATTCTCTGCACTTAAACCTTTGTTCCGTTGATTCGCGTGAATTTGATTTTCTGTTTGTTTAGCTGCTTCTAATTGAGGCGCGTAAAAATGCACGCCAGAGCGGAAATGTGGGCGGAAATGTAAAGCTTTTTGCCAACTGTGGAAATTGCGACAACAACAATAACAACAACACCAGCAACATAATCGCTTTCGCTACGGAGCAGAGCTTTTCATTTTCAACAGCCATGCAATTACTGTGCAGAGGGAAAATGGAAAAAACGGCACACGAAGCAGCATCAAAAAAGGAACCGTCAAATTGTGCCAGCAACACATGGCGCAGCTCCTCACGTCGCCCGTTCCAGTCGCGATTGGGTGGGGTTTCTACTACTTCTTCTGCTTCTGCTATATTTTGTTGGCTCTTGCGAAAAGCTATTGGAGTTCTAGACAACAAAAGCATGGCACGTAATATAATAAAGAGATTTTCCATAGCATACAAAGCGGCTGCCATATCGGGCTCTAATCGAAATCGGTTTTAGCTGAGCAGAAAAAAATTTTATATATATTTTTGTATATATATATATATATATATATAAAGTATATAATTGCTCGTGTAGTTTAGCAGTCTGTTCGCTTTGTAAACAAACTTTGCTATCTATTTCTTTTATGTTTTTCTTTGTTTTACTTCTGCTAATCAACAGCAACAGTTTGTTGGCACGCGAACAGATAGCGAGTGTGACAGCGCGACAAAAAGAGAGAGAGAGAAGGGGAGACTGAGTGAAAAAGCTGACAGAGAGGCACTTTCCAATTAGCTTCGTATAGAATGTTTTTTATACATACATATGTGCCAAGGAATTCTCTTTTCACGTATTTTCACATAGTTGATGCTGGCTAATGAGTTATCCAAACAACGAGCTGATAGCAAGCGAACAGAAAGAGAAAGCAGAACTGTTATTTATTGCAACCTTTGTCGGCTGTACACATTCGAGAAGTTTTCATTAGCTTACCATTGGCTTAATGCGCTTAAGCTCTTTTATGGCTTATTATGAGCCTTATTTAAACAGCTCGAGTTGCGCCATGACAGCTGAAACCTTCACTTGCATTTAAAACAGTCAACTGAAAGGTTATATAAAGACAATAAATCCAGCAATAAATTATATAGTTTTATTTGCTGTGCTCTAGTTACAGCTCAAAACTTCTTCAGGTAAGCCAGCCGAAGGTGTTGCCCCTGAAAGTATGCAATCAATTTTTACTCACGATCCATGGCAGCAGCAATAATTGCCTCAATCTGACTGAGTCGTTGCATTGCACGTTTTAAGCTCCACAATTTAGACACGAAGAATGTGCTTCAAGTTTTCTGTCAAGATGCAAACTGTCCTTCTGCTTGAAGTAATCCGCTTAACTTCTATTCTTTATCGTTAATTGATGTTGACTGATGAACATCTTGCAGAGAGTTTGAAATGTTATCATTGCTTACGATTTCACTAACTTGTTGATGTTGATATTGATATAGTTAATTATTATTGATTTATAGAGTCTTTTGTGAGAGAATTGAATAGATTTCCTAGAGCACCATTAAATTAAGTTTAAATGCTTTAGAAGCAAAGCTCTTTACTCACATCTAGCTAAGTTCTTAGGACATTTTGTTGATACGATAATGATTATGTTAATGATAATAATAGTGGTAAACATAGTTATTTATATTTAAATTGACATTTATATTGATGATTATGATGTTGATTTTTTGAAATACTATTTTTGTTGTAGTTTTAAATGTTTTTTTTTAATCATGATTCGAGGCTTCGTCTGGAACTGCAAACCTCCTACTTTTTCTTTTCTAACTGTTACTCTTTGGACAGCATCTTTGCCTATGCTCATTTGCTTCATTATAGCCTCATTCATTCCTTTCTAGCCTTCTGATCACTTCTTGCAGTACAAGAAATCGCCTATTGAATTTTGGCAGTAAATAACGATTAGCAGAATGATAAAGAAAATGTTTATTTTAATGTAAATAATTATTTATAAATAAAATAATATATATATTAATATATAAAATAATATATAAATTGAATAATTTGCAATATGCAAATGCTTCATTACTCTCATATTATAACAGACTTTGATTGCTTATAGAACAAAATTATCCTTGTCTTTCTCCATCTCTTTCCTGGCCTGCAAAGAATCAGGAGATTACAATATGAAAACTTGAAAATTGACGTTTTGCTTATCTGTCCTAATGATTTAGTCATGTTAAATATTAATACCTAAGGTAGACATTTTCAGCAAATACTTTGAATAAATTCTAGAAAATAATATTCAAAAGGACAGCAAGCTTGAGGCAAGCATATGGTGAATTTCTAATTGAGCGCGTCTCATAAATCTCTGCCTGGGCCTGACCCTCAATTTATATATAGTTAAATATACATATATATATTATATATATATATATATATATATATTTATATATTTCTTTTAGTCATAAATTAAAAAGCAAAACAGAAGCTCAGCAATTTCGTTAGCACATTAAATTTACATATATTCTCTACGAGTGAATCGCAGAGGCAGTCGCAGCTGCAGACTCTTAAATTTGGGGCGGACTCTAAGTGGCCCGAACTGGTTTGGCTGCCTGGCAGACTGGCTGGTTGGCTGGATAATGCGGCAATTGTTAAGCCAAATGCAAATAGACGTTGGAAGTTGTAGACGTCGTCGTCGTCGTGTATGCCTGGCCGCGTGCAGCACATAAATCACTTGCCGGACTCCAGTTGAAGCTGCGTCGCCATGGTGCACGCCTCCTTGTCGACGGTTAGCTTGGTAACGCGCTGGAGCGTCTCTATGGTCTGCATGTACAATCTCTTGGCCAACTCCTTGTCCTGCCCGGCCTCTGAAGTTGGCGCAATTTCGCAGTCACTGCAAGTAGGCGAAGAAACGTTGCACAAAATGAACAAGTAGGAGTGGCAAAGTCGGCAGTGCCCGACTACCAGATACCCTAAGAAACTATTCTATTCAATATATTCAAGTTTGCAAACTGCTGTTTTCGCGTTCTCGCAGACAGATGAACATACTATTGTTCCTTCTCAAGGCTTCAAGGTGCTGTTGCAACAAACTAATATACCCGTTCCACACAATTCTAAAGCATCTCCGGATATAAAAAGTGTAGGAAAATGGCGCTAATGCGGCATCAGCCGGTTCCGTTGTTTGGCAACTCACTTGAAGTACTCGCCGGTCACTTGCTTCAGCTGGGGATCTGTGGCTAGGCGTATGGCGCACTGGGCTCCCTCGCTGGCGTTCTTCATGAATAGCCACATCCAGGGGTAGGTGATCACCTTAACGCAAATGGCCGACATTAGCGGTGAGCTGTGCGTGTTAGCCACATCAAAGAAAAACGACAAAAAGAAGAAGAAAACAAAACAAAAGTTAAAAAAGGTAACAAGAGTTAGCTTAATTTCATTTCCATTGTAATTAAAATGCAAAACATGAAGCCAAACAGAGAGTAGTCGACTTAAAGATAATCTAGGAAATGGAAAGTTCATAGAAGCAAGAGAATTACTTATACTTATACTTAGACGGAGAGGAGACTTATACGGAGACGGAGACGGAGACGGAGACGGAGACGGATACGGAGACGGAGACGGAGACGGAGACGGAGACGGAGACTTAGACTTAGACGGAGACGGATACGGAGACGAGACTTATACGGAGACGGATACGGAGACGGAGACTTAGACGGAGACGGAGACGGAGACGGAGACGGAGACGGAGACGGAGACGGAGACTTATACGGAGACGAGACAGACTTAGACGGAGACGGAGACGGAGACGGAGACTTAGACGGAGACGGAGACGGAGACTTAGACGGAGACGGAGACGGAGACGGAGACGGAGACTTAGACGGAGACGGAGACGGAGCACGGATGACGGAGACGGAGACGGAGACGGAGAGGAGACGGAGACTCGAGACGAGCGAGACGGAGACGTAGACGGAGACGTAACTTATACCTTATACTTATACTTATAACTTATACTTATACTTATACTATATACTTATACTTATACTTATATTATACTTATACTTATACTTATACTATAATACTTATACTTATACTTATACTTATACTTATACTTATACTTATACTTATACTTATACTTATACTTATACTTATACTTATACTTATACTCTATACTTATACTTTGGTATACCTCGCTTTACTCTATATATTTTAAGCATATATTCCTTAGCTCAATTCTCTTTTTAATTCACTAATAATTAGTTATTAACTTGAAAGCTGATCCATGAATTGGAAATTTATGTATTTGTAAGATTTTTATATTTAAACAAAGTTTGTGAACAGCTGAATGTATTCACTGAACAGCTGTTGGGGAATAAAAAGTATAAAACTTTGTGCTTCCATAAATATTTAAATTGAATTACCGAAATCGAAAAAAAACTAGAGAGCAAAGAAGGCTGGATATCGAGGAGCTAAAAAAAGATGAGAGTCATGAAATCTACGACAATGGGTTTCAGTTGCACAACTTTAACAACTGCCTTCTAATGGCATTTTTAATTGTGGCAGAAGACACAGAGAGGAGGAAGAAAAAATGAAATAAAAAACAATTTGGGGCATGCTACAATTTAACGTGCGTCATAGCCAACTCTCTTTCGCTCAACTTTTATATAGTATATATATTTATTTATATATGTGTATACGCCATGCAGATGCCTTTCAGACAGGATTACGGACGCGCGCTCAATTTGCTTAGCTGTCTTTGTTGTTTGTTTGTTGTTGTTTTTATTGTTTTTGCTGCCACTGCTGCTGCTGCTGCTTCCAATGGTCGCAGGTTCACCGACACTTGAACATAATAAAACGATAAATAAATAATTAATGCGTTTAACTTTTCCATTTACGCTTTTTCCGTGACTTGAGCATTAACTGCTTTTCATTTTCATTCATTTCACACAGACACCCACACACACACACACACACTGAGCTCATACAAAAGCGTGTCTGTCTATCTGGCTGCAGTGCTGTCCCTACCTCTTGCACCTCTTTATGCCTCCACTGCTATCGCTGTCTGCCCTGCTTCCCGCTGCCCTCTTCGCTCCTCCTTCGCCTCCTGCTGCTGCTGCTGTGTGTTGTGTGCCTTGCCCTATCATAGAGTGAAAATGGTTTCATTCAATGCAACGCTTTTTAAAGCTTGTTGCCCTTGCCACAACCAACAGTTCCTGCCCCCTGTCCCTCCTCTCTCTTGTTGCCCTTTTAATTCTTTGGATGGATTTGTGAATCGCATTAGGCGAGCTGTGCGGGCTGAACCGCTAAGCCGGACAAAGTTCACGTGCAATGAGCCACCCTACCGTGCAGCTGATTGCATGTGAATGCTTAGCCCCTACATAAAAATACACACACACACACATAAGTGCATTTAAATGCCTTGCCAATGACTGCAGGGTATCTGCACATTTGCTTAATGAACGAGTTCACGCAGAACTTTTGGAAATCACGATTTCCACTTTGCCATGGATAATGCGTCGGAATTACGGGTTGTTGCTAGCTGTTTTTTTAGAGAGAGACATACTCAGTACTCGTATACATTAATTAAACAGAAAGTTAAACGTGTTACTTTTTATACTCGCCCAAGAAGTTAATGGAGTATATTGATTTTTTGCCACAGACTTAGAATTTAAATAATTAAGTCGAGTCAAGCAGCTGCATGAGAGATATGCTGAAGTGGGGGCGGGGCAGTTGGAGCTACACTATATTTTGATATCTATCTATATCTTGTGTTAAAGTCAGAGTTGATCTATCAAAGCCACAATCATTCATGCTGTGATATATGCATTAAAATAATTTCTTTGCTCCATTTTGAGTGCAGATTGAGATTTGTAAGTTGAGTAACTGTTAACATACACTAAAAATAAACCTATATTAGGGCGTGGCAAATGGAAAAACGTTGCACGTGCTTGGCCCGCGCGGGAGTATTGAACAGTCGAGTGCAAGAATCTCACTTGCTTATGAATATGTTCGTGTGTGTGCTTTAGCTTTTCGCTTGCTAATTAGTAAAGCTGTCATTAAAAGTAACGGTATTGCGTTATAATGTCATTTTTTAAAAACAAATATGGGAAAATAAAAAGAATAATTGGTAGGAACATATAATAAATGCTATATTATACAGACAAAAATCATATATAGATCAGATACATGAGCTTAAAAGATTTGAGCTTAAAGAAGTTAGTTTACTCTAGAACTTATCCCTAACAAATACAGTGGCTATAATCTTGATCATTTTACTTAAATCTTTCTTACTTTATAAAAAGAAATAAATGTTCATCCATTGGCAATAAGAAAACTTTTTATAGTCTAGCTCAGTTTATTTCGTATCACAATTATTTACAGCTGTAAAATTTTATGCATTTTCGTTTCATTTCAAAGCCACATAAAAGTGAATTGAAAACCAGCTGAACCGAAATTGATTTTCTGAATTATTTTCAGGACTAGATAAGACGTAGAGCGCAGTTGCACTTTAATAAATTATCACGAAAATGTGCCAGATTGAGTGACTGACAGAGTGAGTGAGTGACTGACGGACAGGCAGGCTACATCAAGCGCCTTGACCGCACATTGAGCAGCAGGCGAAGGTAAAACTGGAGGCGGGGCAGAATGCAATACGTGGCTGACAGCTGTTTCAACAGACACAAGCCTGACAATCATAAAAGCAACGAAAGTCACAGAGTAATATACCATGTAAGATGCTGTTCTTGTCTGTATGTGCTCTGTCTGTGTGTGTGTGTGCTCTGTGTGTGTGTACAAGTAAAACAAAAGTTCAATTTGACGCTACAAAGTCTGTAAATAGAAAATCTTCATGAAGAGCCAAAACATGTACACGAAATGTACAAACGACAAGGAACAGGAACTGGAACTGGAACAACAGCTGAGATGGAACTCAGTGATTTGTTGCGAACATACACTGAGACTGGGATGTAACTGAAAGTGGAACTGAAACTGGAACTAGAGCTAGAGAACTAGAGAATTAGAATTGGTTTAAATGAACTGGGACTGAACTTACAACTGAATACTTGAGTGGGAACTGCAGGTGGAACCAGCATGAGAACTGCCAGAGATGCAAGAGCTGAACTAAAACTGAAGCTGGAATTGGAACTAGTATTAAGAATAATACTGCAAATATAACTGAAATTAGAACTAAATATATTATAAAATATATATATATATATATAATATATAAATAAATAATATTATATATATATATATATTATTATATATATATATATATATATATATATATATATATATATATGTATATATAACTAAAACAACTAAAAATGAAACTGAAGCTGGAATTAGAACTGGAACTAAAGGTGGAACTGGATTGAATTGTGATTGTAACTTGAAATGACATTGAGACTGAGAATAGAATTAGAGCTGAAATTAAAAATAAAACTGGAATTGGAAGCGAAACTAAAACAGCTGAAACTGGAACTGGAACTGATATTAGAGCTGGAATTGAAGCTGTAACTAAATCTAGATCTGGAATTTGAATTGCATCTATTAAAGGAACTTGAATTAAAATTGGAAATGACACTGAAACTGGAACTAGAACTAGAACTGAACTGGAACTGAAACTAACAGTTGAACAATTAGAACCAGCTACAAATTTAAAAAAGAAAATTAACTTGAGCAGCTCAAACATATGCACAGAGCAACGCTAAAAACGAGAGCTGCAACGGGAACTGGAACTAAAATTGGGCTGAAGTGAAGCGTGTGGGCAGCAGTTGCATGCAGCGCAATGCACAGGAAGTATATGCCTGCCAGGTGCTTGTATCTAGCAGCATACACACACAGATACTCTCACACACACACACACACGCACACTTGGAAGAGTCATATGTAGGTGAACTGTAGGCCAGCTCCATGCACGTCCACTTCATGTTACTTCCGCTGTTCATTTGCTGTTTTATTGCCGCAGCCCCAGGGCTGTGAAGGTGGCCAGTTGTTGTTGTTGCTGTTGTTGATGGCGTCAGGATCACGTGCCACGTGCCTATTGCCACAACTGACAGAGCCCCGCCACTGCCAGCGCCCTCAGTCCACAGCTGTCAAGGAGCTGCGTTTTATGTCTAAATGATTTGTACGCTTGGCCCGGCATTTGATTTCTTTCATTGTTTGACAATCTTTTGTTTCACTGTGCAGTCAGCTTGCAGCAGCACGAGGCATTTGCAAATTGTAATGACGCATGTTAACAATGTTTCGCCCTGGCCATGTGGCAGCTGCCATTGGCAAGCGAATAAGATACATACATATGTGCGATGTGAGCACAACAGTTTTGTGTCTATGATGGATTATGCTTTTGTGGCTTCTGACAGCTGTTACCTGTGTGTGAGTGTGTGTGTGTGGCATATCACAAATGCCTGCCTGCCACTTGCCACAGCATTGCCAACTATACATACATATGTATTTCACTCAACTATATATTTCCAATTATTTTTATTGAATTGTGTAATTTGTGAAGCATGCTCACAAACAGGTGTGTGTGTGTGGGTGTGTGTGTGTGTGTGTGTGTATTTTATTTGCGTAACATTCCAGATTGTTATCGTCCTCTAGCTGCAAAGTTGTTAACTATTTAAGGCTTTGCACACATCTGTTACGCTCATTTATTTTGTTTATTTCGGTGCAAAGTTGTTAAGCCAAGTTAAGTCAAATGTTGGCCCAGATGAATGAAGGCAAACAGACTGTTCGCATTTCCACAGTAAACTAAAATTTATATACTTTTGGTAGAAGTTCAGAAATTGGAATGAAGTTTAAATAATTTAAGCCTCGAAAATTAATATTTCTTTACTTAAGATTAAAGTTTCAAAAGAATTTTAATTTTAATAGACAAAGATAAAGCTAGAGATATATAGAGATAGAGATAGAGATAGAGATAGAGATATAGATATAGATAGAGATAGAGATAGAGATAGATAGAGATAGAGATAGAGATAGAGATAGAGATAGAGATAGAGATAGAGATAGAGATAGAGATAGAGATAGAGATAGAGATAGAGATAGAGATAGAGATAGAGATAGAGATAGAGATAGAGATAGAGATAGAGATAGAGATAGAGATAGAGATAGAGATAGAGATAGAGATAGAGATAGAGATAGAGATAGAGATAGAGATAGAGATAGAGATAGAGATAGAGATAGAGATAGAGATAGAGATAGAGATAGATAGAGATAGAGATAGAGATAGAGATAGAGATATAGATAGAGATAGAGATAGAGATAGAGATAGAGATAGAGATAGAGATAGAGATAGAGATAGAGATAGAGATAGAGATAGAGATAGAGATAGAGATAGAGATAGAGATAGAGATAGAGATAGAGATAGAGATAGAGATAGAGATAGAGATAGAGATAGAGATAGAGATAGAGATAGAGATAGAGATAGAGATAGAGATAGAGATAGAGATAGAGATAGAGATAGAGATAAGATAGAGATAGAGATAGAGATAGAGATAGAGATAGAGATAGAGATAGAGATAGAGATAGAGATAGAGATAGAGATAGAGATAGAGATAGAGATAGAGATAGAGATAGAGATAGAGATAGAGATAGAGATAGAGATAGAGACAACTACATTTGCCTCTATATGTCGACTCAGTGTCAACAGACTTTTGGCAATGACTGTGCAATGTGCCTTGGTCATTGTGGGTGGATTTGCTGGTTGAAAAATGATTTCTCTTCCGTATCAAAATGTTTGGCAATGACTAATTTATAACTGCCAGAAAGTTGCAGATTTGCGATTGCAAGACCAGCTGAAGTATCAATAAATCTTGCATTAATATTGTTGCCATCAATGAAAGATGTTTGCGGGGAGTGGGAGGGGGCGGGGGTGGAGTAGGACAGACAAGAATAGGGGCGTAGCGAAGTGTCGACTATGCTTGTCGCTTGAACTTGGTTTTTGCTGACACAGCGTTGCCGTTGGCAAAAAGAAACAATTGCCGCAACAACAGGACCAGCAACAAGAACAACGACACCAGCAGACACAGCAGCAGCGGTAGCAATAGCAACAACAATAGCAACAGAAACAGAAGCAAAAGATACGGCAACAGCCACAAGAATAGCAGCAACACAGCAGCGGAATCACCTGCAGCAGCAGCATGAAAAGCAGCAGCAATAACAGGAAAATTAACAACAGCAACAACAGCAACATCAATGGCATGACTAGGCACAGCAGCAGGAGGCAGCAGCAACAATAAGAGCAATGGAGGCAGCAGCAACCATAAACATCAGGAACAAACACAACAACAGCAGCAGAAGCAGCAGCAGCAGCAGCAGCAACATCAATAGCAACAACAGCAAGCAGAAATGACAGCAGCAACATCTCTAGCAGCACCGACAACAACAGCAGCAGCAGCAATATCGATAGCAACTGCAGCTGCAGCAGCAGCAGCAACAATAGCAACAGCAGCAGCAACAGCAATACAAAGGAGCTACAGCAGCAGCAACATGAATAGCAACAGCAGCAACAGTCAACAACAACAGCGCAGAGTAGCAACAACAACAACTACAATACACTTAGCAACAACTACAGCAGCAGCAGCAGCAATATATATGACAGCAACAGCATCTGCAACTACAACAACAACAACAACTGTCAGCTGTGCGCGAGTGGGCAATAACTCAAAATCCGCACAGTCTAGGCCAAGTTTGGGACCCGCAGTTATCTTTGTTGGCCCTAAGAAATCGTAGGCAATTGTCAAGTGCTCGGCCAGCTTGGCTCAGCTTGGCCCGGGCAGCGTAACATGTCGCGCCGCGTGCTTGGCATTCTAATTATCGCGTTTCGCTCTTGTTGCATAAGCAATTGCAAATGTGTGTGTGAATGTTCGAGTGTGTGGCAAGTGCCACTCGATGCTGGATTATCTACGCAGCTGCTGCTGTGCGGTGGGCAGAGATGGAGGGTTCTATGTGGGGTCTATGCTGTTGCTGCTGTTGCTGTTGCAGCTTGTCGTCATTTTGTGCTGTTCGTAATTTGCAACTGTTTGTCGTGTTTGCACGTCCTTTTCTGTGTATTGTGCAAATTTCCTTTTTTCATATTCCTCCCCTATATAGACACGTATATACCCGCACACAAACTGATGTTCTATACAGCATTTTGCTGGGGGGCTGACAACCAATTTGCATGGGCTGCCTTTAAGCCTATGTCATCGAGCTCCTTTTGCCGCAGCTCTGTTAATTCTGCTGCTGCTGCTGTTGCTCTGTTTAATGCAGTTGCTGTCCTTGACAGCTATCCTAATGGATTTTTGTTTAGACAACGCTCAGAAACCCTTTGCAGCGCTGCTAAAAATAATCTTGCTCCGGATAATGGCAGCAAGCCACTGGTTTCGCTTTCGTATCTTGCGCTTGAGAGCAAAAGTAGCTAAATTTTAAATGATGCAGTCGATTCATATTTTCTTGTGAAGCAACCAAAAATGAATCCCCAGGCAAAGCTGTCGGTTAATGCGCCCTTGCTGACTCCACAAAAGATACAGCTTCTAGCTTTTCGCAGGAACAGGATGCGTCTAGCTTTGGGGCATCAACAGTTACGGTTTTTTTTTCTAACGCCAACTTAAGCTACGCGGAAAGGGAAACGATATGAACGCAGCGGTTGTCCCTTGAGCGACTTCAGCGATACAGAACTGCTTCACTTAACAGGAAGCTAGTTAAAGACTCAGTCAATGTTGCAGGCTGTCTATAGATGGCAGCAATTAGTGGTTACAAATCCAGTCAATCTTTCTCTATTGTCAGGCAGAACTACTTTCGATGCCAGCTCTGCTCAGCCTAGTGTAGGTTATGCCATCCTATGCTGATACAACCTATAAAGCTATCTCAAACTCCGCACAGCTTCGAATCTGAATACCTGTGTAATCTGGTCAATTAATCATTAAGGTTAGCTAGCTACTACAGCTTCTAACAGAGCTACAAGTTATTGGAACTCAGCATCCAGAGACAATAGGAATGCAGGATATTATGTTAGCTATGCCTAAAGGGATGTAATTTATATAAATTTTTGATCAGGAGCAACAGACAAAAGCATCTTTAATTATGCGCCTGCCTGTGCGTGCGTCCGTCCGTTCGTCATTCTAGCCGCATTCCCAACCGTGGAACCTATATTTTCTAGGATAAGCCTCTCAGAATGGTGCGTGAAATAGTACTCATCGTTGCTTCTATATATACACATCTATCGATATATTTTTCCATTTACATGAAATCGATAAAAATCGATATGAAATTTAAGTTACTTGAGCATGAGATAAAAGAGCGCATGTCCTAAAATATTATTAATTAATTAAAAAAATAATAATTAAGCGCATGTCTAAATATTATTAATTAATTAAAAACATAATAATTAATTTTTAAATTAATTAATAATATTTTAGGACATGCGCTCTTTTATCTCATGCTCAAGTAACTTAAATTTCATATCGATTTTTATCGATTTCATGTCAAATGTAGTTAAGCTGATGGTTCATATTAACATGACCTTCCTTTCAGATCTTAACAGTTCTGTTAAGACAATTCCTGTACAATCTGCCTAACATTTTATAGCTATAATTTTATCTACAGCCCCTTTAGCTGATGAACTATCAAGCCTAGCCCTAATTAACCCCAAGATTTCAGTTGCGAGTGCTGCAAAGTTGCTTTTGTTGAAGCACTTTAACTGCGTTAGGATTTTTTTGAGGCACTGTAATTTATGTTTGAAGTAAATCAAGCACGTAAGAGCAGCCTTCCAATCAAGTCAGGGTCATTTGGTTGAGCAGCACTCAAGGCTGTCCATTTGAAATCTTTAATTACATTTGAGTTTGAGCCTGGGCCTTTGATGCGATGCCAACTGGCGGGTCACGTTCGGCACTTGGCCCACTTTTGACCCCACGCCCACGCCCAAGCCCACGCCGAGTCACGTTTAGCCAAATGAAAAGTGGAAAAAGTTTTTGCACGGCCGCGAAATGAGCTTAAAAATTGAGTTGCAGTTGCAGTTGCAGCTGCAGCTGCAGTTTGTGCTGAGTGCAACTTGTGGGTTTTTTGGTTTTGATTTCAATTTACGTTTTTAGTTGCTGGGCAGGTCTGGCCCGGCCTGGCCTGGCCTGGTTTGGTTACACTTACTTGCGCAGATGCCGTGTGCCTCTCACTAGTCCGGGCGTGCAGCAGTTGACCGTAATGGGGGTATCTGCGGGGAAATCAGCGCGTTATTAAAAATGAAAAACTCGACGGCCCGCTCGAGTTAAGCATTTCAGTAATTTAGCGAGCTTGGCTAGGAAAAAAAATAATTGAATTCTCTGATGGTCAGCGCTTACCTTTCAGCTCTCGGGCCAGCCAGCGCGTGGCCAAAATAACGGCCAGCTTGGAGTGGGCGAAGGCGTCGCGTGCATGGAACTTCACCGACCAGGTGCCCACATTTAGCGGATCGTCGAAATCGATTTTGGCCGCCTGATGGGCGTGCGCCGACACAAAAATAATCCGGCCCTGCTCCGAGCGACGCAGATGCGGCAGCAGCAGCTGCGTCAGCAAAAACGGACCCAAATAGTTCACCTGGCTGTGCGGCTCGAAGCCGTCCGGCGTGGTCGCGCGTGTGTCACCAAACACCATGCCCGCATTGTTCACCAGCACATCGATGCGTTCGAACTCGGACATCAGCTGGCCGGCAAACTGATGCACACTGCGCAGCGAGCACAGGTCGAGAAGACGCGCTTCCACAAAGTAGCGTTCGGCGGGGCTGACGCTGTCCGTGCTGGAGGTGGGCGTGCGGCAGCCGAGCTCCCGTTTAATAATTGATGCGGCACGT